TCAGTCCAAGGTACTTTCAGTCCAGGTACTCTCAGTCCAAGGTACTTTCAGTTCAAGGTACTTCGCCAGCACCATCATTCAAAAGTGTCAATTCTTCAGTCTTCTTTATTCAATGTCCAACTTTCACATGCATGAGGTAACTGTAAAATACCCGGGCTTGAATCAAGCTCACCTTAGTCCTCAAAGTAACATCCTTGATTTTCAACACTCTAAAGAGCTCTTGTGTAAAATTGCATCTTCTGATTTCTTGACTGCTGCTTCCCTGAGTAGTGAATGTGGAGTCTAAGCTACCAAACAGGATCATATCCACAGCTACAGTGGCCGGGATTTCAACCTATATCTGGGAGATCCAATTCGATCATTCAACCACTTGACTGTCAGTTTGTCACACTGCGGTGGCTTGTGTGTTGCTGTGATGCGGGCAGCTCTGTCACTGGTGTTTCAAATGCCAGTAGCCTCCTCCAAAGTGAACAAGTTTCAGCTGAACATCCAGACTAAGAACAGACTCCGAAGCAGGAACCAGCTATGCACTTTGGAGGAGTGGCCACTGACAACCTTAGGGACAGCATGGAAGTACTGTCAGATACCAATGCCTAATGAGCGGGGGCAGAAGACTGTGGGATACAGACCCCTCGGGTCAGAAAATACTCAACATGTGACTGAGGAAGATATGTATCCTCAAATATCATGGATACCGCATGCAGATCAAATTTTTGATGAAGATCGTCCAACAATGGCTGTAGTAGTACATTGGACAGGGAACTGCCAGAGGGTTAGGCCAGACTCAAGAAGATGAGGAACAAGGGATATCATTACTGTTGACAGATGGATCTTGGCTGAAAGCAGAGACTAGAAAGATGTTTACTTGGGGTCTATTGACTATTGCAAATATTTGGTTGGGTGGATCATAACAAGCTACGGCTAGCCCGAGAAGAACTCCAGAATACTTCACTGTGCTCCTGCAGAATGTGTACATGCATCAGAAGACAGCTGTGTGATCAGAACAAGGAAAGACCGAATGTTTTTCAATTAGGAAAGGTGTGCTCAGGACTGTATGTCTTCGCCATGCCCATTCAATGTGTGTGCTGAGCAAGTCATCAGAGAAGCTGGCTAATCTGAAGAGGATTAGAGGAAGGCTTATGAACAACCTGCAATGTGCAGACGACACAGCCTTGCTTGCTGAACGTGAGGACATGAACCTTGGTAGTTGTGGATAAAGGATTTTAGCTTTTAGTATGAATTACAAGTCAATGTGAAGAAGACCAACATCCACATGACGGAACAAGTGGGTGACATCACGGTAAGTGGAGAAAACAGTGACGTTGTCAAGGATTTTGTCCCGTCGGACCCAGATTCAATGCGCACAGAAGCAGCAGTCCAGAGGTCAAAAGATGCCTTGCCTTGGATACATCTGTTACACAAGACCTCTCTAGAGTGTTGCAAAGCAAGGATGTTGGTTTGAGCAGTAAAGGATTTCCAATCGCCTCATAGGCATGTGAAAGTTAGACACTAAATAACTAGGACTGAAGAAGAATCAGTGCATTTGAATGGGGGCAGGCCAAGAGTATTGAAATTACTATGGGCTGCCAAAAGGAAAGACAAATCTGTCTTGGAAGAAGTACATCCAAATTGCTCTTTAGAGCAAGGATGGCGAGACTTTGTTTCACATACTTTGGACATGTTGTCAGGAGAGACCAGTCCCGGAGAAGGACGTCATGCTTGGAAGAGGAGAAGGGCATCAAAAAATAGGTAAAACTTTAACAAGATGGATTGACCCAGTGGTTGCAGCAAAGTGCTGAAGCAAAGGACCGGTTGGGAGGATGGCATAGGACTGGGCTATGCTTCGTTCTGCCGTGCTT